AGTTCATGAAATGAAAAAGTCAAGCAAAGAGGAAGTTTCAGGTATGGCTGGATCCAGGTTTCAAAAGTTGGTCAGTGGATATCAGATTTCTCCTCCATGTTTTGGCTCTTCCTTCCTCTGGTTGGCTCCATTTCCAGGCAAATCCCTCACGTGGTAGCACCCACTATCTGTAGGCTTATATCCTCTCAACTTCAAGTCCATCAGAGACAGAGGCCCTCCTCTTCTCATAGTTCTTGCCTAAGTCCAGGTCTGAGTCTCGCTGTGACTTGGGTCCCATGCTCGTCCTGGAAGCACTCACCCTGGACCAGGAGATTAAAGCACTCTGATTGGCTGTGCTGGATTCCACATCAGTCACCATTTATTCTCACCAAGACTTACTAAGTCACTAGCAAGTTTTTAAAAAGATGTCTTTTCAAGGTATAACCTTGGCGGGGTCAGCTCATTTATACCACATGGGCAGAACTACATTCCTTTCCACAGGAGAAGCTTCCCCTAAGGAAATCCAGGCTTCTGCTACTGTAAACCACAGGTGTTACCAGTGGAGGTGATGAGAACTCAGAATCTTCCTGAGTAGCACCACACAGGTGTTAGAAAATTGACTCTTTGGGAAAAAAGGGTGGACAGGGGGAGGGCTGTGATGCCCGCCTGAAGTCAGTTGCCTCAGTGCTTACCTGTGGAGGGAAGAGGAAATCGGCTGGGTGCCAACCAGGCTGAAGGCTCCTCATAAGTGCAGGGGTGAGGCCCTGCAGCAAAACGTGACCTGGTGCTGTGAGCTGAATGGTGGTCCTTAAAGATGGCAGTTCCTAATCCCTGGGACCTGTGAATGCTATATAGTTTTTGCAGGTGTGATTAAGCGAAGGATTTGGAGATGAGATTATTCCAGGTTTTCCTGATGGACCCTATGTGATATTACAGATGCCCTTATAAGAGACAGGCAGAGAGAAAGTTGACATGCATCAAATAAGAAGACACTCTTCTGCAGTGTGATGATGGAGGCAGAGGTTGGATTGATGCAGCCAAAAGTCCAGGAATTCTTGCAGCCATCAGCCGTTGCATGGGTTAAAGAACAGTTTCCCAAAGTCTCTGGAAGGACAGAGCCCAACAACTTGATTGTAATTGTGATGCTTACTTTAGACTTCTGGTCTCCAGAACTGTGAGAGGACACATTGGCTTTGTTTTCAGCCCCCGAGTTTGTGGCAATTTGTTATAGCCGCCACAAGACACTAATGTGGATGGTATGAGAGGAGTGTATCTTCAGCAGGAAGGTTTAGGTGAGAACAGAAAGGAGCAGCAGAACTTTGCTGGGAGAGAGGGACAGGGTGGACATGCTGTCAGTAGTGTTTCACCAACATTTCAAGAGTCAGATTGAAGGACTGAATCATCTTTCTACTCCCAGTGGTGGTCAGAGTGCAGGACTTGCTTCAAGACCGACCCAGTATGTGACGTTGTCTGTTCTTACAGTTGGAATAAGGAGGCATCTTACTGACTAAAGGCAAGCTTGGGCCAAGGAGCCAAAACGCCTCTGACACATAGTGTCCAGAAGACCTGCATTCTTAGTTTCCTCCTCTCCCCAAGAGGAGGAATATTCTTAACCCTCCGGATGGGTTTAATCCTCTTAATGGGTTGCCTTTCTTTCATCATCCTGGGGAAAGAGAGAGACTTTATGACCAAGAGGCATAGTATTAATGAAGGCAGCTGATATTTACTGGATAGTCACACCATGCAAAGTGCTGTACAGTCGTTTAATCCTCACCGCAGCCCCATGACGTTCACCTATTTGGCAGATGAGGAGATTGAGGCACAGAGAAAGTGAGCACCTAGTCTAAAGTCACACAGCTAGTATGCAGTAGAACCAGGCTTCAAACCCATGTGGGCTGACCTCTAAGCCCACACTCTTAGCCCCAGGCCACAATGCTCAGGATGGCATTAACCCCACTCACCCCCCACCCCCACCCCCAGCTCATTCCTGGGGGTCCTCAGCCAGAGATTTGCCAGATACTGCTTTTTTTTGCTGGCTTCTCATTCTTCATGCTGCTACTTTTTAGCCATGTTACTGATGAGAAAACAGCTTAGTAAAATCAATGGTTTTAAATTATACCTTTATGTAGCAAGGATACAAAACAAACTACAAAACAGAAATACTTTCCCAGTGACAAAAAAATCAATCTCACTGATGCTACTGTTCCTTGAGCCTGCCTCCACCACAGCCACCCCTCCCCCGTCCCCATCCCCCCCTAGTCCTTAAGACTTTCTCTGCTCTTGCATCTGCCGGCTTTGTGCAGACTTTCTTCAGGTTTCTTGCTCGGGAGACTCGTTTTATCTAAAAGGTCAATTCTTTCAGCGGGGCACCAAGCAGAATTGAATATAATTATCCCAATCTCTACCGTGTAGAATTCATGCTTGAATTCATTCAAAAAATAGCATGCAGTATAATTAACTCAGAGTCCAACCAAATCTATTGAGAAAGCCTCAGGTATCATACAGTTCCACTTACAATAGAACATTTTCATTTAAGGACATTGTACGTATTAACCCAAGTCAGCATCCAATTACTCTGAATAAGTGAATTCTCTGTTCCAGGAATGTAATTTGAAAATGTTGTCATGCAATCTGAGGCAAAAGGTCCTTTTTCATTAATCTAACTCTCATTAAAGTGGAAGCCTGCAGGTTATTTCAAATCCATTAGTTTTAAATACAGGTGATTACAATTCTATTGCACGTAAGACAACAGAAGTGTCTATCAAGAAATATTGGGACGTTTTGAGGGATGGGACTGGTTGGAGGTTTTGCTGTCACCGCTGAGCATGAAATTTACCAGCTGATGGAAAGGGAGACTGTTCTAACCCTCTTAGGGCATACATAGTCCATTGTATGAACCCAAAAGGCGAAACTACATGTGGGAAAGAGCTTGTGTTGGTCCTGCTCTCCCACAATTATCAGTTGTGTGTATTTCCGATCCACTTAGCTTTGGAAGGTCGGTGAAATTAACACTCACAGTATTAATTCTTTAAGAGGCTGGCAGTCTTTGGACACATGGCTTCATCTGCCTAGCTTCCCCTCCCCTGCCTCTGTTTACTAATCCTTCAGATCACTGACTCAAGGCCCCTTCTCCCAGGCAGCCTTCCCTGACTACCCAGCTAGAAGTGATAGGCTTTTGCCTTGAACCCTGTGCAAATGACTCTTTCGATATTTGCCATCTGCCCCTCAGTCTTTTGAGCTTTTCAAATTTGATTCAATTCAATAAATATTCCTTGAGAAGAGCGAATGTCAGGCACTGGACTAGTTGCTAGAGATTCAGTGGCCAGGGTCACAGCCCTCGTCCTCCAGAAACTCACATCTAGTGAGTGAGGGTGTGGGGACAGAGGGGACAGCAGCAGACACTGAGTGCCCATGAGCATTATGATACAGGACTTGCAGGGGCAGGTGGAAGCCCAAAGGAGAAGCTCCCAACTTCAACTTCATATCGTTTCTTTACCTAAAACCCTCAGATGGCTTCCTCTTAGATATGGAACAGAATCCACACCTCCAAGAAGGCCTCCAAGTTTCCAAGATGATCTGGCCCCTCTACTCCCCTCCCACCTCCATATCTTCACACTATTCTCCCTCTCCAGCCACACTGGCTTCTTTGAGTTCTTTAAACATTCTCAACCCTTTGCTGCCTCTGTGCCTTTGCACAAGCTATCCTCGTTCTGTCTATGCACTTCACTCCTAAATTCTTCAACTCACTCTTCCCTTCTTATCCTGTAGCTCTCAGCTCAACTGTCACTGCCTCTTGGAAGTTCCCTGAAGTATACATTCTAAAGTCACTTGTAAGCCTGAAATGTGTTCAGTTATTTCTTTCGAAACACTTTTTGTTCAATTGCTAAGTCACGTCCAACTCTTTGTGACCTCATGGGCTGTAGAACGCCAGGCTCCTCTGTCCTCCACCATCTCCCAGGATTTGCTCAAACTCCTGTCCATTGAGTTAGTGGTGCTATCTAACCATCAAACCCTCTAGTCACCTGAAATATTAAGTATCTGTTGAGCGTTATCTCTGTCCCTCCTTAGAATATAAATTACTGGAAGGCAAGGACATGGTCAATTTTAATTATCATGAAATCTACTGCACCTGGCCCAGAGCCTGGCCTAGAGCGAGCACTCAATAATATTTGCTGGAAGGAAAAGAATGAATAAATGACTTGGGGATAATTAAAACTGAGACTTTAGAAATTTCCTGTCAAAAGACAATGGAAGAGGAGGGATGTCTTATTTTCAAACTGGATCATAACTTTGGGTGGGCTTCTTCATTTGTGACTCACAAGAGTCATGTCCTCTGTATCAAAGATAATCCATATATTTCTGTCGTTAGATTCACATTTTTCAGCAGTGTCCTGGTGAACCCAAAACTGTTGGAATTGCACTGAGGCTGAATCTGGCAGAAGGAGTCCTCAGGGCTTGCTTGTATCTCTTCTGGGTGAGCAAAATAACACAACTGAACACAGGGTGGAATTTCCATTCCCAAACCCTCTTAACTGTCTCCACTGCTTCAAGCTTCCCTACCTACAGGCCAACTGGAAAGACTTTTCTCTTAAATAAGTTCTGTGCACTCAATATCTATCCCTAAGCTATTTTGGGTGGCTGTTGGGTGCAAAGTCCAGGGCTGGGGAACTGGGGAACTAAAAAACTACTATCTCAGCATTGGAGAGACTTACACTTGCTTTGAGAAAATAAATCTTTCCCAGAGCAGTGGGAAACCTTTTCAGGTGTGAAGGTTCATTTACATCCATCGCTTCTTTTAATATCCCAAAGAAGCCTTCCAAAGTCAAAGCACAATTACAGAAAAAAATTTAACAGGCTTCAGATAAGGGAATGGCTTGCTAGAAGTCATATATGGAGGAAGAGAAAAAACTCAAACATTATGGTCAACATTATTTCACCAGTTTTGGCCACCCCTCAAATAACCACAGAATAAATGAAAGAAAATTGATCCTGTTGGAAACTCTCCTAGAGTCCCCTGGGACATGCGAGGTCAGGTAGAGGTGCCTATGTTTGTAAGACTGACCATCATGGAAGTGGCCCAAGGGTCCCCTGGGATGGCCCCCTGACCATCACCCTTTGAAAAAGTTGTTCAGCAACAATAATTTCTATCACTTCAAACTTTTCATCCCAACCATTTCCCACTTCCGAGGACACTTCAAGGATCACCACTTCCTTGAAGGTTTCCACAAATATACTTCTAGATCTTTTCCCTCCATACAGTGACCACCAAACAATCCTGCAATTATTAGATACCATCTTGTGCAGTTCTCTAATGGCTTCACGGGTTGTCTTATCTCTCCGACTACAATGAAAAGAACTTGGGCAGGAACAATGCCTAATAATACTAATTATAAGATAATAATCTCTTTTATGTAGCCACACTTTCAAGTTTACAAAACAGGTTCACATCCTCACTGGACCCCAGGGAGGCTGGCAGCACCAGTGCTATGATTATTCATGTGTGACAGATGAGGAAACTGAGGCAGGGAAGATCCAGAGACTTGTCTGAGATGGCACAGGCCATCCAAGGGGATGAATGGTTTGAATCAAACTGGGACTTAAAGCTGGTTTCTCTGGTTCCAAGATTCTTTTACCACATTATCCAAAATCTCCTCTCTTTGGCCAAAATTCTGGCATTTTCAACTTCCCCTTTCTTTTCTCAATCAATCTTTCCACTTTTTCCACATTGAACACTGAGTTTCTTGGGGCTCTTAAGCCAACCTAGATGATGTGCACCCAAAAGTAACAGCCTCAGAGAAAGGATTTTTTTCGCTTAAAAAGCAGTACATGAATCAATGAAAATAACAGGCTCACTTTTATGGTAGCTGTTTGTCTTGGGTTCTTACAACTAAGCCTGTCAAGTGTTGATGGGCATCCAAGACCTCTATGAGCTCCAAGCCCATATGTTCTAGTCTTCATTCATGACCAAGAAATAGACCTTGCATTGACTTTAGACACTGGCTAGTCTGACTGGAGCTTGGGGATGGGCTTGGGGTCTTAGGTTACCTAAAGGGGAGACAACTCCCAAGGAAGGATTTACCTGCTGATCACAGGATGGCTTAAATATCTCTAGTCCCTTTCCACCTCATCCTCTTTCAGTAAAGAGAGTAAGCTAGCTAGCTCCCTGGAAGATCTTACAGGATCTTGGCCAAGAATACAAATTGAGGGAATTCCCTGGTGACCCAGTGGTTAGGGTTCCACACTTCCACTGCAGGGCACACAGGTTCAGTTCCTGGTCAGGAGCTAATATTCTGCGTGTTTTGCATGGCCACAGCCAAAGGGAAAAAAAGAAAAAGGAAAATGAGTCTAGACCACTCTGAGTTCAGAGATATCTTAGAAAAGGAAATGTGATGAGAAAAAGGCAGCAGAATTATTCTCCAAAGCTATTTTTGTAAGTGACATGTAGGCATCCCAGCCTGGTGCCTGAAACATACATCACAAACAACATCCACGGACACACACATGGTTTTCCAGAAGCAACATGCGACCTTAGGTATATGTGACATCCCCACACCCACTCTTTGAAATGCCCAGCATGCAAATAAGTGGCATCTGTGTATGCACAGACTTGAATAGCTCTAATGTGTGAGAATTATTAGCAAACGTTGGCTTTTTAACTATTAAAGTTTAAAAACAAACAAAACCCGCTTGTCTCACACCTTCAACTGATTACTGCATAAAATATGTCACGGTACTGGGCTGCCAATTTTTTTTAAATCTGCCCATTTCCTTCCTCCTCCCCCTACTGCCCCAGTTCTCCTATCATTTTAGACAGATCCAGGAAAGAAAAGCTCCAGAGAAGAGCCAACAACTTACACTAAAATTACACGTGCATGAGTGTGCATGTCTGTGCATGTGTGTGCATGCGTGAGCACACACACAAGGATCTTGATGCTGTTTAGTATTTTTTAAACACTTCTTTCCATTCCAGTTCCTGTGATAAGTGTGTTTTTTCATTAGCTTATGTAATCCTCTGATATTAAAATCAACCCTTAAACAATTCAGAGCTTCTTGTAACACTTAACCAACCCAAACTAAGCTTTCAGTTTTCCATCTTAGAACAATCCTCGGGACCTCTTACCGACCTCGAGGTCTGGCTTCCCTTTGTTCTTCTGAAGTGAGCCAGTGACTCCTACTTTCTAAAGGGGACATTTGAATTTCTTTTCAAATGTATATCTGACCTCATTTACTGCGACTCCCCTGATTTTCAAAATGTTCGTTTGAAAGTCTTTTCAAATGAAATAGCCTTTTGAAGTTTGTTTACTTGTGAATGCTTTTCCTCTGGATTCCAAAGTATTCTGGAAGCAGTGGGGGAGGTGGAGGATATCATATTTATATATTGCTTTTATGTCTAAAATTCCTTTTATTTATGTATAAACACCTGTACTACTGGATTAAGTATTATGCACCAGGTATTATGTGTAAATGCTCGCATTTATACCTAAAAGAGAACCAGTAAGATGGATATGTCAAGAACGGAGGTGGAAAAGTCCCCCAGCTCAACTTGAGGGCCCTTATTTCTTCCTGCCTACATATTTTGAGAAAATGTGAAAAGCCATACTTCAAGTCTAGACATTTTCCCACAATATCTCATGACATTTTTTGAGAAATGTACTGTAATTATCCTTGTTTACCACTGGGATTTGGAGATTAAAAAAATGCACCCAATGTCACATGGCTACCAAAGGGAGAAGCTGATGTTTACACCCAAGGCTGATTCTTCTGTGAATTTTCTATGCAACATTGATCTACAGAAAGCTTTTGTTCTTCTTGTAGTTGTTTTGTTTGAGGTCACGTGTGTGACTGTTTGGGACTTAGTCTCACTTTAAGAGACTATTTTCCCTCAGGTACCTCCCACATCCATCCTCTGCTTCGCTCTGCATGACTGGCCTGGCTTCCATCTCTCTTGGTTTACAGCCAATGGAGGTAGGTGCCCAGGGCAGCGGCTGATTCTCCTCTATGTTCCCAGATCCCATCTGAGAGCTTCTACCTTAGGCTCAGGCCCTTTGCCTCCTCCCTCCGACCCTTCATCCTAGAGACGATGATGCCTGTGTGCACACATGCTCAGTCGCTCAATTGTGTTCACTCTTTGCGACCCCACGGACTGTAGCCCACCAGGCTCCTCTGTCCATGGGATTTCTCATGCAAGAATACTGGAGGGGGTTGCCATTTCCTTCTCCAGGGGATCTTTCCAACCCAGAGATAGAACCTGCATTTCCTGCATCTCCTGTACTGGCAGATGGATTCTTTATCACTAAGCCACCTGGGAAGCCCAGAGATGATGGTGGATTGCTGCAATTTCTAATCTCTGATTGGCTACTGTCCCTTCCAGCTTCTCAGCTCTTTTACCACCTGTCTAACCAATCCTCTATATTAGATTCTTCCCTTTTACAATATTTAGACTGGGTTCTGCCTTCCTGGCCTGAAGTCGACTGATACAGAGAAGAACGCACATGAGATCATTTAAGAAAAACACAAGAACAATCACAATCAAAATGGTGCGGAGCTGATTATGCTTAGTGACTGTGTCTCTCTATTGCAAGGTAGGACATCACCAAGAATGAATGTAGACTGGGAGAAAACACTCCCTGTGTGGGCAGAGCTGAAGATAAAACATGTCAGTGCATTTCAGCAAGTGGCATTTTCAGCTTCTTTGAAGGGTGACAATGATGGATAGAGCCCCATGGATTCTGCTCCCTGAAGGAACCCTAGTGGTTCCTTTACTTGTCTCACAAAGGAGAGCAAGACCTGACACAAATTTATTACCTCTATCAGACAAATGTTATTGCTGTTTAGTCGATAAGTCACGTACAACTCTTTGTGACCCTATGAACTGCAGCACGCCAGGCTTCCGTGTCCTTCACTATCTCCCAAACTTTGCTCAACCTCATGTCCTTTAAGTCAATGATACCATCCAACATCTCATCCTCATCTTACCTGCTTCTCCTCCTGCCCTCAATCTTTCCCAGTATCAGGGTCTATTCCAATGAGTCGGCTCTTCGCATTAAGTGGCCAAAGTATTGGAGCTTCAGCTTCAACATCAGTCCTTCCAATGAATATTCAGGGCTGATTTCCTTTAGGATTGACTGCTTTGATCTCCTTGCAGTCCAAGGGACTCTCAAGAGTCTTCTCCAGAAACACAGTTCAAAAGCACCAATTCTTTGGTGCCTAGCCTTCTTTATGATCCAACTCTCACATCCATATATGACTACTGGAAAAACCATAGCTTTGACTAGATCGACCTTTGTCGGTAAAGTGATGTCTCTGCTTTTTAATATGCTCTCTAGGTTTGTCATAGTTTTTCTTCCAAGGAGCAAGCATCTTTTAATTTCATGGCTGCAGTCAATGCAGACAAATGTAGTGACTTTAAACCTGAATCTCATGAGTACATACCTGATTTGGAGCTACCCACCCTTGCTCTATCTTTCTCCGTGATTCCGGTCCTGTTCAATCCACAACATGAAGGGGGGATAAAGAAGGATTTATGGGGCATTACTGGGAGGAGCATGTTTCATCTGGAACTACTGCAAAGACAAAGGACAAAATCCATTGTCTTTCCTGAGGCACCTCCCAAAAAACACACTTTTGCTTTTCTTGCCAAGGAAACTCCTGGGAGACATATATGCCTGAATATGGTATAAGTGAATTACAGTAGCAAATATTCACTAGAGACATTAGTTCCAACTTGGTTTCCAAATTGTCCATATTGTAGCCAAAATCTCAAACCTGGCAATAGTGCATCTGTTAGTCAGGAATCTTCAGAAAAACAAACTTTAGTGTATATATATATATATATGTACACACACACACATATATATGTGTACACATACACATATATATGTGTGTACACACACACACAGAGCTTTATTGTAAGGAATTGGCTCACACAATTATGGAAGCCGGCAAGCCCAAAATCTGCAGGGTCGCTGTCTCAGTTTGAGTCCAAAGGCTGGAAGCTGCTGAAGAACCAGGAAGAACTGATGTTTCAGTTCAA